GTCAGGGAAGAGTGCAGATCTCGGAACAGCAGGAGGACAGCAGTCACTTGCATGAGGTAGGCCGCTTCAGACTGCAGGGTCTGCTGCGTAAGGATGCGTAAAAAACCCGTCTTGGTAACAAAAAACCTTGAGTCAAGCCGTTGCACTTTTGGCCACGCAACGCACATAAAAACTGATACATCGAGCCAAGCATAACTTGAATCCCTTCATATGAAATTGATTATTTGGTCTCTGAGCCTATGTAATACATTATTTTAAGGACTTGATGAAAGTGCTGTTGAACATTAACAGAGATAGATGTAAACAACGCTGCTTCATCCAAAAGAGAGGAATGCATGTAGTGGTGATCTGTGGTGTGTATAAAAAGAGGCGCCCTCGAGCTATAGGCGTTGTGTACTTTTCACAGCCTGACATTTTGAGCAGCACGATGACACGGACCACATAGATGATCATTAAAGGGGCCCTGCGGATCTCTTCATGCATCTACCCACAGAGCAACAAGACGCATCCCTACTAAGGATAGAGTAAAGACGCAAACTCAACAGAAGAAATGTCGCATTGTGGAGGACATGTCCCGCATGTATCTGCAGCTCCACCACGAGTTTTCGTGCCAAACAAAAGAACTTGTATATACCATAGCGAAATCCTAAAAAACTGCAAGCAGAGCTAAAATACGGGCTGAATTCCAGCCATCAGGAATACGAAGCGATCTGTTGATAGCGGCCATGCGTTTCGGATATAAATACATGTTTCAATAGACACACCGCTCTTTTATAACGCAAACCGTGTCCTCTCTCTGTACTTATGTAAGCTCAGGGTATGGAAGAGTCCAACAAGTAGTAGCCTAATACCTTAACCAAACTGAGTTGCAAAGAATAAACCCACTCCGGAGTGCGTATCATGAAATCAAAGGTTTTCCCACGTGTGTAAACTTTGCTTAGTTACCATCAAATAGGTATGGTGCAAAGAACGATCCTTGGACCAACAGCATGCAAATACAACTTGTTAATCCCGAGCCATGGTGTCTCCAAAACCAGACACACATTCGTCAAGGCCGAGGCCAATGGATAGAAATCTAAGAACAACATCCTGCTTTCAAAATGTGTTTTTTTCTGTTTTGTATTTTAGAGTAATGCCCCGTTTGGTGGCACAGGGCCGTGAAAGCTATCGATCCAAATCAGGGAAAGATATAAGTTCAGACACGGAGTTTTGTGGGAAATGAATTCCCATAGAATAAAATGAAGTAACCCACCACCCTGTCCAATATGACCCTTTAACATATGCGAACTGATCATGCTCCGCAGGGCCGTCCGAGGTAGTTGCATCAGGGTTTCATAGGTAACAGGACGCACGGCGAAGAGCGTAAACAGTCTACATCCGAGGGTGGGCGGCTCTGCCCCCCTAATGCTGTTGTTCTCCCTAGCATTTGTAAGTGCTTCCATTCTCACAACTCCAGAAGATTCGTACAGCCCTTATATTTGATGGACACTATGGGAACCCGACCATATTTTACTCAGAGCTAAAATGTAAAGGTTAGACACAGGCTGTTCCCCAGTTTGGAGGGGCCGGGCCAGGTAGATTCGAGAGAGATGTGGATAGCTAGTACAGCTGCTTGAGGCCTTACTTACCTGACTCTAGCGTGTGTTCTGTTTTTGAGTTATGCTCACTCTAAATACTCTTCAAAAATACAGAGTTCGAAATAAACACACGGCTCATTTGCGCCTGTTGGCGGGGAGGCCTCACTGATATCAAACCAGAAAACTTGTTCAAGCATCTTAGGGTTTAGTGAGCCAACGGTGTATATTAACTTTATGTAGCTCTAACCTCTTTGCTAAAATACTAAGGTCTCACTCCTAAACTACCACCCAGTATAGTCTGCCGCCCGCATTCACGCGGCGTTGGATCGCCGCAACAATCGTACAGTCCTGCGGGCTGTCTGATCGGAGACGATGAGGCTGCTCCCAATAACTAACCTCAGCGCGCAGGCAGCAGTTCTTCGACCACCGACCCGATCCTATCCGAGTATAAAGTTATTTGCACAAATACCTAAATTATGACCCCTGAATAGATGACGCGTGCGTACCCGAGAAAAGGTTCTCTAACACCCTTGAGAACTCGGGCTCCACGCGCCGTTTCATCATACATTCCTTGTCACGCGTTTCTCAGTTCTCAATGCACCGTGAACCACACACGCATCACACAGCCACACACAACACCTTCTACTGTCCCATTTTAACTTGTAACAGACCCGTAACATCGATGGCCGTATGCGGCGGATTAATTCAATAATTATTTGTTGTCAGATTACATGTTGTACAGAAAAACAAACACTTGGGAATTATTCTTTAACTTTATTTTAACAGTAGTATTTAATTGCCATGATAAAGAGTCCATTTAGTAGCTGTTCAAGAGCTATGATCACAGCAATGTGATCTTCGATAGAAGTGTAAGATTTTTCACTTTAAGGAAGTCTCCTCCATGTTGGCTTTAAAGCCGCGGGTCATAGTTCATTTTGATGTGTAACCACTTGGTTGTTTCGATCAATAAGCTCGCAGTCAACAGGACTACTTACACGTTGTGGTTGGCAGTTTGTTTTTCGAGCATTGCTGTTTTCCAAGATTTTAAGTAATTGAACATTTACCTTTGCATTAACATATTTGCACTGTCATAGTCATTTTCCTTTATGCTTGCACTGCATAACACAGTAATGAACTAGATCCGAAGGCATGGAAATACTGTTTGTAATTGAAATTGTTTGACGAGATGACTGTGGAACCCTGTGATTATGAGCTTATCAGCAGCCTAGTCACCATGGGTCCCTTTCTATACGCAGAACAAAAGCAGTCGATAATCCCATTTGCAAGTTTAAAACCTCTCGTTCATATGAATTTTAGCTTGCCTGAAAAGTGCAGCCCTGCCCTAATCTCGTCTGGCCATAAGACTGCGAAAATGCTTAATTCACTTAAATTCTCTGTTATATCACACACCGTGTACTCTGTACAAAGCTTTTATCCAGAGTTGTGTATTTTCTTCAAGAGGTTGTGTCAAGATTGGTAATCCCTGTACAGTAAGCTGATTGGTTGTGTTAATTCTCAGGTGTGGCAGTATAGTGACATTGAAGGGATATCAACATCATCGCTGTCTAGACACACGTATCAAAATAGGTTTGGATCATAAGTCTCTCAGTCCGGATTAGACCGTTATGACGCCCCGGCAAACATCTTATGGCCTCACCAGACGCGTGCAGCCATATCTGTTGAGTGCAATTCACGAAAACAAGAATCCAAAGTAACAATATGCTAGACCTATCTCAATCGCAGCAAATCTCTCGTTCCCGCGTACTACAGAGAAGCGTGTTCGAATCTACACAATCTCGCACGCCCTGACCTCTATGTGATTTCACAGTGGAGCAAGGAGGCTGCACGAGACAGTTACCAGGATCTAGCTAGACGATTAACAACACAGTCTCGTGTTGAGATGCACACTCACAATCCCAAAGCCAGGTCACAACTGATCAACACATTGTAGACAGAGGGGATTGCTTTTCACCCTCCCTTGGCACGCAGCGCACCTTCCAACTGCCGCTTGCGGAACACACCCAGAGTAGAAAGATAGAGATGAAGTTTCATCTGAAGCTGGCACAACCACTTTCTGTCATGTCAAGCGTTACTGATAAGTATGTACAATCCCAGCGTATTTTGATCAGTGACATAGAGCGGTGTGCTACGGACAAAATGCCGAGCCATCAAATAGCAAAACTTACAAATAGCTCCCTTCATTAAGAAAGAGCGCGTAGAATAGTTCCAACTTCTCCAAGTCCCTCCACTAATCAACAAATCATACTTACTTACTTATGAGTACACCAGAGGTGGTCTTTATGTTATAGAGTAGAGATGACACTTAATATGTCTAAATTATATTGTCAGCTAAAACTATGGCAAAGAAATAATATTGTATCAATGCTGCGTATACATTATAGCTCTCCATTGATTGGCCTCCCTAGACTCGTCTGTCTTAAAAGAATCATACACGAGTCTAGTCTTCACTCTGTTCCTCCAGACCTATGTGTCTGATGCTGTACTCTAGCTGTCCGCCTCCAGTACGACCTTCACTCCCCCAGGTCTCCCTTACACTCCACCGTCTAACCACAAGCACGTCACACTTCAACCTTCAGACCCCACTGTTAAGACTACAGATAGCTTTCTTTTAAAATAGATCTGCGTTTATAGATGTATGTTCTCTCTCACTGCAAAGGATACAACAAAGGAAATCATGAGCTTTAAGAGAACTGCTTTCTTTTTTCACGAAACAGATTCGATTGGTGTTCCTCTTGGAACTTGTCTCATCTCAGTGGTTGTTGTGTGTGTGTGTGTGTGTGTGTGTGTGTGTGTGTGTGTGTGTGTGTGTGGGTGTGTGTGTGTGTGTGTGTGTGTGTGTGTGTGTGTTTTCCCCCAGCGTAAAGTGCCTGATCAGGATGTTGCCCAAGGCTCCTACATAGCTCTGCCCCTCACTCTGCTGCTCCTGTTAGCAGCGTACAACCATGAGAAGGTAAATAAGCAGCTTCACATCCTCAAGACAATATGTTCAAAGAGCTTTTCTTGCTCCACTGTTGAATTTCGATTTAGTTGGTTTAAACCTCACTGGACTTTGGCCTTATCATGGCAAATCCTAAAATCTGGAATGACATCAAGAAGAATGTCCTACTTCTACTTAGTTTTCATGTTTTATAATCAGTTCTTGTTTCATTTATTCATTCATTCAAGTTAATCACATTATTGTCTCAAGTGAGAAACTGTTAATCCAAAAAGCCTTTGTTTAATACCTTTTGCTGACCTGTTTTTGCAGGTGATCCCCCTGCTGTTACAGGTCGTGAACCGTATCCAGGGAGTGAGGAGCATGGCCCAAGCCAGCGGGGACAGTGCCGCCCTGGATGAAGCCAAACGTCAGGCCAAGAGACAGAAAGCCAGGCGCACATGAGTACACAACCACGGCTCACCTCAGACCACACCTTTGTATGCTAAACGGCACACTAACACCCACAGTCCACAGCCAGCGCTGGGTTTAACTCTTCCTGCAGCCGCGGCAGCTAACGATGGGTGCTAGTAAACTGTTTAGTTAGCTGAGATGTGATTTGCCCCCAAGTGAAGCCCAACATGAACCACTCGACGCGCATTACCCACCACCTCATCAGCCATTCAGATTCACTGGACTGATAGCTGACATTTTACAGGTTGTTTTTGTTGATTTTTTTTTTTTTTTCCCAGAACACTCATTGTCTAAAAAAAATATTGTCAATATTTGTGATAGAGTATGAGCCATTTTTATACCTTTGTAATTTATCTAGGAGAGCTAAAATCTTTTGTGTTTTGAAAGCACTTGAATGCTTTTGCTATCTATCCTCACATTATTTTAGGACTATCAGGCACTGTGGATAACCATGTGTCTCGCCTACCAGCGTCGGGGTCAATTCAGACAATACGCAAAAGTGATTTTCATCAGAAGCTGTAACTGGAGTTTGATGAAATCTAATCAGAACTACCAGTATTAACTTTTAAAGATTTATGGTTTAAATTGATGTGTAAGGGCTCACATAAGGGTCAAAAAGACTTTCAGCTTGAGAAACAATCGTCAGAAATGTTTTTAAGCTTGTGTTTGCATAGCAGCCTTGTAATCCTGGTGGAAAAAAACATGAGAAATTGAAGTTAAGAATTTCCAAATGATATTTGTGCTAAAAGATTTATTGTTTAGAAGAACAAAAAAAAAGTAAAGTTTTCACACATTACTTCATTTTGTGAACATCAAAACACAGATTCGGAGTAGAAAACATAATTTGTACACAGGTTTTATTTAGACACTCTGAACTACAAAACGCTTCAAAATATCCACAAACCTTTTAACAGGTCTCCAAAGGCTGATAAACAACTATAAGCTCTGAATGTTTTTAAACATTATTTCACAAGCTCAAAATCTTTTTGTCACTTATTTGAACCCATAAGTTTGATCTTAAACTGCATTGACCACCATAATGCCATCGCAAACAGGGGATTCTGTAACTGCTTACTATGATTGAAAGGCAGCCAAAGATGTTGACAGCTAATAACTGCTTCATACCGTTGTCACTTAAGTGTAAAACACTCATGAGTTACTGTAATGGACTCCATCCACTCCTGATGGTACTTTATAAGCTGTTAAGCGTGATGCAAGATTGACTCGATGTCTCTGTTAGCTCAGGAAAGTGATGGTGGATAAGATGCTGCAAATTTGGGTTTGAATACTGTGTGAAGAGACTTTTTTTCTTTTTCTTTTTTTTTCTTTTGGAGGGGCAGGGCAGGAAGGGGGGTAGGGAGTTCTAGGGGATAACGAATAGTTAATTAATTTATTAACATATGTCTAATCAGATGTGAATGTTTTTTGAAAGTGTGTTTTTTTGGGGATTTTTTTGGAACAAAAATCTGTCCCATGAAGTGTGTAACAAGTTATTTTGAAGAGCAACGTAAAATTTAATAAGACTCCTATCCACAGAGGTGAGTTTGAGTGAGAATATGTACAAGGGGTCTGTCACAACCTTGAGTTAAACTTAAAAAGATGAGAGTTGTAATTTTGAAAGCACATTGTCTTACTGCCCAGCTGTTTAATGCACTGTGAAAACTATGGACCCCTATTTTTTTTTTTTTTTCTGTATTCAATTCATCTGCTCTGAGTTGTGGCTGACTTTCACTGAAAGATGAAAAGGCCACTGGCTATTTACTGAGTTGAAAGATATTCCAATTAGTCCACATTTAGGAGGCGTTGATTAGTTTGGTTGGGGTGGGAGAGGGAGGTGGGGTGAAATTGTCATTTGTCATTTGGCAAGAATCTGTTTAATTTTTTTTTTTTTTTTTTTGAGATAATGAATAAAGTTTGACTGGAAGAAAATTAACTCAATTGTTTTATGGTTTTGCCTCTAGGGGGCAGTGTAATGCTAGACATTAATATTTTCATTAAGAATGGCAAGAATTGCAGATTTCATCATTTTAAATCTTAAAGAACAAAAGTTATATTGTACTATTTTAGTTAAGGATCAAAAAAATGTGGAGTACCCCCCAGAAAACCAGTAAGTATCAGACTGATCTCATTATTCTTTCTCTTCATCCAAGCAGCACAACAGCATGGACAAGGCTTGTCTAAGAAGGGTTAAACGCTCTAAGAGCAGAGCTGTCTGTAAAGGACCATTTTCAGCTTAAATCCCTTTTGTTCTAATGTGTCTAAATCCCTCTGTGCTCTGTCTTGACAGCTTTGCCTCACTGCCTCTCTGTGCTGTCTGCTGGATAATGTAAAATGTGTCAGATATTAATGAACAACAGTTGGCCCAACTCCAGCAGAGGCAGAAAAAGCCTCTCAAAAAATGTTCTACCACTTTTTTTTTTGGTCAGTAGTGAACAGACAGTATCGGATGAACACCAGAGTTTATGGACAAAAACAACTTATGTGACTGAACAGGGGTTGGGGGGGGGACTAGCTTCCATCGTCAGTCAGCAGTAGACAAAACACATTAACAGCAGACCACAGCAACCCAGACGTTAGTGTTTGTAATAGACACTGGTAACAGATCAACAGTTAGAGCTTTGTTGCGTGTCTCCTAAAGTTTTCACACCAGACATTTTGACCTGTCATACCAGTGGAAGCACAGGTGGAACTAATTACATTAACGAGGGTTTCAGTCCATTCAACTCAGGTGTGACTCTTCCTCAGCCCTGGTAATGTGCATGTTACCCTGCTAGCATGACTTACTGGGACACTTTAATGGAATACGACTTTGTTAATGCTGGTAATTACACCTGCCTTTCCTGCTATGACATGTCAACGTGACTGCTGTGAAAAAGGTCTATTTTTGACCGATTGTCACACAGAAACACATCGCTGTCACACCGTTTGCTTTTCAAATTTTTGTGGCTAATATTGTAGCAAGTAATGGCTGACTTACACATCCAGACAGAGAGCAACAAGAGGTTCCAGTTGGGGTTTTGTTTCTGGCTACCTGGTAAGTCCATTATTTCCTGACATTTTTGTTCTGGCTCTGTAGCCTACACCAGCCTCTGAGGAAAGTGTCTTGGTGTTTAGCTTGCTAAATGCTAGGCTTTATTCTTTTAGAGAGGTGCAATGGTTGTGTGCATGTTAGTGTGTGTGTGGTATTTGGTAAAATGGTATATGACATGGCATTCACAATAATGATAAAGTCAAAGTGATTTACTTGCTTGAATGTTGTTGGCAAGGGATATTTTTTCCATTCTCATTTTTGTCTGTTCTTTCTAGTTTAAAAAAAAAAAAAAAAAAAAAAAAAAAAAAATTGAACTGGTGGACACATTTGAGACGGTGCTGTCCTGCACAGCGCAGGTGAGACTCCTTATACTCTGTCCACTCCTGTGAAAAATAAGAGCTAAGAGCTTGCCCCTAAATACACAGCCTTTTGACGGTAGCTGAGACTGCGCTGGGCTCATCTGCTGACATTTTGTCTTGATGAGATGCAGCCAATTAGTATGAGCCGCTCAGCTCTGCATTGTCTGAAGCAACCTGGGGAATGAAAGCAACAGCAGCACACCTGGGTCACCAGTTTGATCAAATAACCTTGTCGCTGAAGTTCATGATACATGTCAGCCTATTGTGGACATTCATCATAGTTTTCCATTTCTCTTCACCTTATTTATATTCTTCTATAACTGTTGGGATGGTTTTTTTTTTCTTTTGATCATTATCATAGAATTTGCCGATATACTAGTGTGATTATATGTGAACAGCTGTTTCACGATATGTATAGCTTACTGTCATTACTGACATTACCTGTGTGCCTTCCACAGCCTTTAAGTAGCTCCCAAATTGTATTCCAGGGACACTTCAGGATCATTGAAGGCTTATTAGAAGCTCCCCCTGTAAAATGTGGATGAGTGGAAGCTGTTTAAACCAGAAAAGATGTAGAACTAGTTGTCTCATGAGTTAGCAGACCTACAATAAAAGGAATCCTTATCACACAAAATCTTTTAAATTTGAGGTTTGTTGTAAGTGAATTTATTTAGTTTGTCATATCCAAAAGCCTTACAGAATAATGACTGGTCCTGCAGCTGCTGCATTTGTATTAATGTTGTCACCTAGCATAACCCCTGTCCATTCATGTCACCCAAAACTCCAGTGGCATGCTGCCCAGCCTGAGTCACCCCTATCGGTCATAATGTATTGGCCAGGACACAAGTCACTGTAGAGCAGAAGAGGGAGGAGATGGAGAGGGGCGCAGCACACCGTCTGTGGCACATTAATACCAGACGTTTGATGAAAAGGCCAGTGAGGGGGAGAGGAATTAAATATTCATTGGGGATGATGACAAGATGGGCAGCGGTGAGGATGATGTGTAATAGTATCTACTGGCTGCTTTTTGTGGTAGCTGAAGTGTGTGTGTGTGTGTGTGTGTGTGTGTGTAGAAACGACGCAGGCAGACTCTTAAGTGCCAGTTTCTATCAGTACAAGAGGTGTGTCATGTCACCCTTTTATGAAACCTAATGCTTACTTACTGTATGCCAGATGTGATGAAAGCTGAGGTGGCTACATCCCCACTAATGTAATCAGAGAGAGCACAGAAGGCATTCAAAGTCTCACATCAGACTTTTAATTCTTTTAAACACACAGTGACTCAGAATACGAATATTACTCTTAGGGCTTAGTCATCCCAGCCTTTTCGAAATCAGTTTATTACAATTAAATCACCATGATCAATTTATTCACTCACAGAAGTAAATCTGTGCAACGCAAATCTGTGGTGCTGATCAGCTGCAAACAGTCCTGACAGAGCTGACCTTGGAGGGAATCAAAAGACAGTCAGACAGCCCACAATGAAAGAAGGCATTATATTAGCTGTGTTTTAAATAAACCTGCTCTGCCGACAGAGTGGATGGTACAAATACATTCCCTTAAATACGTTAACTTAAAGCTGTAATAGTCAGAAAGATAGAAAGACAGAGCCGGGTTGTCCGTCCGCCCGTCCCTCCCGCTCTCATAGGCACAATATCTCATATCATATCCTTGACGGAACTTCTTCAAATTTGGCACAAACTTTCACTAGGACTCAAGGATGCACTGATTTAGATTTTGCTGGTCAAAGGTCAAGGTCACAGTGACCTCACAAAACATGACTTTGTCCATGTGAACACAATATCTCCAGAACTCCTCAAGGGAATCCCTTCAAATTTGGCACAAACGTTCACTTGGACTCACGGACGAACTGATTAGACTTTGTTGGTCAAAGGTCAATGCGACCTCACAAAACACTTTTTAGCCATAACTCAAGAATTCACACAGCAATTATGACAAAATTTTACAATTGCGTTCCTACACATTGCTGCTTCTCTTGGCACATTACTGCCACCTGTAAATCAGTGCAATAGTGTGAAACTATGTACATGCATGAAAATGAAGGGGAACCTAAAAACGTTGCTCCATACTCCACATGGTATCTTTAAAATGTAATATGTGTATGTGTGTCATTGGTGTGTTTGCAGCCTGTTTCTGCCCCTCGAGTCAAAAGCCTAATGTATTGTCCAGTTGGCGACTGATAGTGCAAGTAATCATTGCGTCAACCACCTTTAAGCACCGTCTATTTTGCAAGGATGCATGAATGAATGCCTCGGCACTTAGTAATGTTACAGCAGCTCCTCTAAATCAATATTACAATCAATAATCAATTTGCTTCACACTCTATTGTTTGGGAAGATGTATCAGCTCTTCAGTGAGATGAGACAAGTCCAGTTTCAGGTATCTAAATCAAACATCTCTATTTTTTTGGAGCATTTTATGCATTTATTAGAGCGATGACAGGAAATGAGGAGACAGAGAGAAAGGGGATGTATGCAACAGAGGTCCCTGGCCTTGCCGGCTGGGCCAGCAGGGAATGCATATCTTTGATTATATGTATGTAAATAAGGCAAAATTTGAATTCACATCATGGTGCTTCTTGAAGACATACAGTTCTCTCTGACACTTTTAATCTATTATGTTAAACTATGTAGATTGAAGGTCAAACTTAATTTTTTTTTTAAGTTAGAGATTTCTATACATCTTTTTTCTTTCTTTCTTCACTCCATTTTTAGCCAGACATATTGGCATTGACTTCTGAAACTCATCTACTTCTCTGCATGAGCCTCGGTGCCTTCTTCCCAGCAGTGCAGTTTAAGGTGAGCCAGGTACGAACACTGTCTTCTAATCCTCTGCCTGTCCACAAATCTCTCCTTGAACACGTGTGTGACACTGACCACTGCCACTGGCTGTCCATTCCCCCTTCCTTCCATCCTGAACAGGGTCAACAAGGTGAACCATCCTCCCTGCAGCCCTCTCTGACCCTTGTGAGGTCTCACTAACTCGTTGGCAATGCTCAAGTGCCTCGCTGATCAAATGAGCGTTCAGGCCCGCTCACCATTCAGCAAGGTCTCTGTAGCTGCCACCCCGTTGGCTTTAAGAGATTTTTGTTGGCGGGCACGGTGATAAAAGCGCAGACATCACAGTAATAAAAAAGCTGACAGGCTCTAGGAAGGACTGACTCTCTTCCTCTCCTTCTCTCTATCCATCTCGTTTTGTCTCATATCTCCTCTCCCTTCCCTCATCGCTCTCCTCAGCTCTAGGTTCCGATACACTGGTGCCATAGTCTATACTGTCATCTGTATGGTCAACGGAGCCTGACGAAAGGGGAGGAGAAGTGAGACAGAGGGGGCAGAGAGAGGGGCACAGAGAGATGTCTGCTGTGTATATGGGGAAGAAGTTCATCATACTGGAGTTGCAGAAGTCCTTGAGCAAAGTCACATTGTGGAGGGGGACAAAAGAGACAGGCATGGCGGCTGACACCCTGGAGCAAACCT